AATTCACACACACACACACACACACACACACACAGATTGACGCGAAGGAGTCAATAACGCCTGTGGGATATCCACATTGACTATTTCTACAGAGTGGGCAAGATAAAAGAATACGTGCTGAGTTGCGGATCGGCGTCCACGGTGAACACTTCCAACACTTGCTGTGGGCAATTAAATGTTCAGTAAGTTTTCAAACGTAGGGTGTGCGATAGACTTACCTCCACGTAGTGCACCCTGGGCAACGTATACTCATACGGCAAAAAGTCTATTAACCGGCAGTTGACTTCTCACTTCAAACTACCATCACCCCACTGTATGCCATAGTCGACCACTTCTACAGTATTCACCTTACCCTGCTCTATCATCGTGTCTGTCTCTTTTTACACTTCGAAGCCACTCCTCAAAGATTTATCAAAGATGGAAATGCCTATTTGGAATTTCAAGAGAGATTAACCGACAACTAGGATGTTCACTTTGGCAGCTAATAGCGCATTGCAATGTGGATAAGTGGATAGATGAAGGAGTAGCCACATTCGATATAAGCCTCAATTCAACAACTCTCAAAGACATTTAGGAAAGTGTTTTTAAACACTCATATCTTCACGTAACCAGCGCGGTTAGTCATTCTGCTGCTCATCGGATTTGTATCGAGTAAAGTCGAACTCGTGACACTTAATTTAGCAAATCTTTTCGTTCACGTTACCTAGGCAGTTAGTGCTTTAAACGAACTTCTAAGAAGTAAGAACGTGTACAAACAGATCTGCTTGAGGAAGGAATCCTGTTAGAGAATTTAAGTTTATGAAGTACAAGGCTTCAATTAACAATGAAAGGGAATACAAGAGAAGGAAATCTGTTACGCACATAAAATGGAACTATGAAACTGTCTTCATTTTTGCTGAGCTGAAGACAACTGCGGCCCAGCAGAGACGTATTATAATACGAACAATAACTACACATAAGAAAGACTAAATATGATCTAGAGTGGATCTGAATTCGAGGTACATTACTAGGACTTTGCCAAAATAATGGAAAAGAATAAAATGCCTACATCGGAGAAACACCAATGAGAGATTGCGATGAGGAAAAGACACTAAATGTCGATTGCTGTCTCTGTTGAACAGTAGAGCAGGAAGTTATTGGTGGTTCGACGCAAGGGGGTGGAGGAGGAAGACGCTTTGGTGGTGCTAGAAGTTGAACGGGCTTGATGTGCTGAGGAGAGACGGTTGCCGATGCATTCCGTGGTGGAGCTGGTGGCTGGAGATCACGCCCAATTTCCTGAGCAATTATTGGGCCAGTACCTCCACTGTAATCATCCACATTACTGACCTCATTTAAAAGATCACTGCAGCTGTGCACTGGATGGAGGCCTGGTGGGGGCGGCAGGAGTTGCTTCAATACAGAGAAATCCGGTATATTTGAACCGGAAGTGGGAGCCGAAGGAACTGGCGGTGGAGGTCGTGGTGGAACTAAAAGAATATCATCAAAAGAGCTTCAATATATCTTGAAGCTTGGTGACTTAGGTCCATAAATAAATATATGTCCATGATGTTCAGAACCTATTGATCAGTTGATTCAATGGAGTGGTTAGGAATTTCACCTCGACATATTGCCCCTAATTTAAGACCTAGCACTGCAGTGCCCACTAGAGTTCACAAAAAGCCACGAAATAACACGGCAGAAAAAAATATGGTAACTTCAAATTGCGCTGACAAATGCAGAAAGTTGTTCCCAACATAAAAATTTCATTCTAATCTGCAATGAACCTTCACGGCCACTTTAATACCCAACAATCCAATTAAATAACATTTTGAATTTGAAATTACAGACAGCTTGTGAAGAACCGAAACCTAACAATGATCAAGATGCCTTAAAATGACCACTTTAATGGAGAATTTTGTTCAAGATTTCAAAGAAAAATAATCACAGCCATTAATAAAGCCTATGCAGGAAGTGAGGACAACGACTCATTCAATATTCAAATTCAAATAAATTCTCCAAGTACCGCGTACAATTGTTGCAACAGCTGACACCATTACAAGACCAAAGAATGGACACCAAAGATAAAATGATAACATTCCCGTTTGTGTTACACTTTACGGAATGGGTGCGCGATAGACTTACCTCCACGTGGTGCACCCTGGGCAACGTATGCTCATACGGCAAAAAAGTCTATTAACTGGCAGTTGACTTCTCACTTCAAACTACTATCACCTCACTCAATGCCATATTCGAATCTTTTCCTGCCTTTGTGTTTGTCTCTTACATCTTTGAACCACTCTTCTGTTCCCCCCCCCCCCTATCGACATTTTCAATTTGATGTTTCTTCCCCTCTGTGAAGCCTGAAGTCAACTAAAGGGCTAATGATAAATATCAAGACCCCTGCTATTTGATATAAATAAATAAACCCCAAAGGACGATTTTGTAACTATATATATCCCTTCTTAATTGACTGACATGAGCTTCTACTGTGAACCCAGAGTGAGTTAGTTAATTAGTTAATTGTGACTAAATGAGTTCTAAGCATTCCAAACGCGTCCTCAAACATTTCGACTCGTTTACCACTGACGATTTTTATAAAGCTATTTATTATCATCTAGCTGAATAGCAATTTGTGCTACGCAATAGGATTATAAGTGTCGAAAGAAAAATGTAGAAGATTGGTTGCATGAACAAGGTAACTTTTTTTCGACAAGAATTTGCAGTGCATTTGAGACCAATTCCTCAAGAGCCTTTTTTAAGCACCATAGCAGTTACTGGCGCAAAATAAAGCCTAAATCGATGTGCCATGGCGCATAAAAACTGAAATACCACAGAAATCTACCAACGTAAATTATGCTTTTGAGATATTAATTCGGCAAACAACAAGATTTCTTATAACCTTGGTCCCAACTTCAAAAGTGATTTATAAGTAGTAATTAACACCTGCTATGCAAAACCACAAAGTCAAGGACGTGATTAGATTAGAAAAAATAGTTATCCATATAATTAGAAAATACATAGAAATACAAGTAAAGATGGCAAAAAATGTTAGCCTATGATATAAAAACTTAAAGTACTCTCAACTACTGAAATGCTCATAAGTGGATTACACATAAATGTGGCTTACCACGAAGGGAAGAAGTGGATTGTAAAACAGCCTCACATTCTCTTGTTGCTACGGTCGTCGTGACATCATCAAAGTCATCATCCCATAGATTGATGAGATTTAGATCCTCCGCTGATATTATGGTACTAATGGGTTGTCGACGCAACCCATCAGTATTACTGTTTTCTTTGGCTCGAGAACTTTCCACGCTTCTGGTTGGCTGGAAGACAGCAGATGCAGGAGGACTTCCATGGGTGAGAATATAGTTGTCTTCGGCCTCATTAACCAGTTTCTGCATGTTTACTAACCATTCCCGTGTCCCAGAATCAAAAGACCCCGAACCTGCTGCGAGAACGCTAGCAAAATTGCGTGGAGTAATGAACGTTTTAGGAGATTCAATCGGGAGTCGTGGAGTGGAATTCAGACGAACTGAGAGAACGACCTGCTGAGCTGAAGTCTCCATTGTCAGTTTGTTGCCAGTTAAACAACGAACAGCTTCAACGGCCTCACTTTCGAAAAAAATACAGTCAGCGGAGATAATTCCTTGGACATAGTGACTCTAGACTCTAATATTGACTTACTACGGTGAAGAGAAAGTGAGAAGAAGTTGATCGCTTTCTTGAAATCGAGACAGAATGATGGTACCAGCCGAGCTGGCCAACTCGACAATAGACTGGTAGATGTCATAGGCCTTAACCTCACCACTTTCACAGCTCCAAGTGATTCGAACAGTGGCATCACCAGGTCCTGCTGCAAGGAGTTCCTCCTCCACCACTTGGCGACGCTTTTTCGGCTCAACCTTTCAAATAAAACCCGATGATTAAGTAAAACGAATTGAACGGAACAGTGAATGCCTATCAAGAGCACATTCATTGATGTAATTGGCCATTCGTACTGGTTATTTCTGACCAGCAAGAAGAGTGAAAGGTTTAACGTTTCTCGTTTCTATTAAAACTTCATTGTATTCAACTAGTAACTTCACCCTAAAAGAAACTCCCCCTTAAGACACATTCATTCTCAATTGTTTAAGGCAAAATTATTGCGGTGATCGTTAATTAAAATATTACAGAAATCATACAATTTGCAACGATATTTGTATAAAGTGAGTGCGTCCATACTTAAGTTGCAACAACTATATTTCCCAAATGGTAACTGTGAATGCTTTAGTTTTAATTTACTTTAAATGTCATCTTAATGCGCCTAGAACTGTAATTTAATTTTATACCATGCTTCACAATTAATTTATTTCTCAATTTGAAAGTTGCTTATCGATTACTCAGCTTGATGCAATTAGCGTGAAAATGGTAGTTACACAAATGTGCTAATTTGGTGCACTTTCTCAAGCAGAAAGGCTTTAATGCAAAAAGAGTTTGGTAGCCTATTTATGTGCCTATTAATAAACTAATATGTAATTTACGCCATGATGAGAGGGTTTTAAAGCAGTACAGCTATTATAATGTAATTAGGCAAAGAGCTAGTTAAAAGATCGTAGTCGATTCGCTTGTTTCGGTGCTTTGCAAGCTCAAACAGGAAGCGCATGCAGGCATGAAGACGAGAAATGCATTCGATGAAAAGGGGGCAGAAACGACACATGTTCACTTCGAGCACCATGTCGTTCCAAACATTCGCATTAATGTTTAAAACGATTATAACTTCATTAACGAAAAAGCACACTAAAGCATTCAATGAAAATCGAAAAAAGACATGCACAACGTGAGCTTGAAAACAAGTACGAACCAAAAATGGAGTAAAAATGGTAGAATATGGCACAAATAGATGTACGAAGCAAGGAGTGGATTGCGTTTGTATCGATTTTACAAGAATTGCTCATCTATCAAACAGCTGGTGTTCTAGAACATCCTTGTACGCGTTTTTTTACACAGATTCTTTATGTAATGCTCACTCAAAATAATAAACCTATTTCGATTTTCAGAGACTTAGTCAATCGTCAGACGTATATATAATTAGAATAGCATCAATGATAGTGAAAAGGGGTGCGTAATAGACTTACCTCCACGTGGTGCACCCTGGGCAACGTATACTCATACGGCAAAAAAGTCTATTAACTGGCAGTTGACTTCTGGCTTCTAACTACCATCACCCCCACTCTATGTCATATTCCACTACTTCCACAGTAATCACCTCACCTTTTTTCTACCTCTGTGTCTGTTTCTTATACATCTTTGAAACACTCTTCTCTTCCCCCCCCCCCTCTCAAATTTTCTCACTTTGATTTTCCTTCCCCTCTGTGAAGCCTGAAGTCAACTAAAGGGCTAATGATAACTATCATAACGCCAGCCATTTGACATAAATAAATAAATGATAGTGAAAATGTGGACACAAAAAATTCGTACTGAAATCAATCAGTAGTTGTCCATATAACTTTAATTTAAAATGCTTTCGATGACCAACAAAAAACAAAAGAATTTGAATAAAGAATTTTCCACACAAACATACCACTTGAATGTCGATATCAAAAACTGCAGCAACAGGTCGATGATCACTAGTTCTGATTTCTGCTCGGTAATAAACTAGCAAATTCTTGTGGAGTAATTTCTCGTCGTCACTGGAATCAATACTTTTCCCATTACTGCCATCATTCATAGGTGGACTGTTTGACTTCTTAAAGACCAGTTTCGCTTTTCGCCAGAGCACACGATCAGTCCATGCTGGGCAGCGTTGCTTTTCAGAAGTGTCATAAGATTTGCTGAATAAATCATACCGATAAGTCGGAGCAAAACATAATGGACCTTCACTGAAATCACGAAACACTTCTTTAGCCTCCCTTTGCACTGAAAGCTGATCAGATCTCACCAAGTCCAACCAAGCGGATCGATCGATTAGTGACTTCACTTCGTCGTTGGGTAGATCAATACGATAGTTGAGATCACCAAACCAAAAGACGTAGTCATGCATGAGGACATTACGCTTATCTGGTCCTAGAATCAAGCGCTGGGAAATGTCGTGCATTTCGGCATTGCGCTCTTTAACAGCTGATTGGCCGGCAGTTAGATGGGAGCAGCAGAAACACAGGGAGGTCGAACCTATTTGAAATCTTACAGCACAGGCTCCTTTATTGCCAGCTTTCCCATGCAGTCCTGTCTTAACGGATGCAGAAGAGAGTCCACGAACGTAGTCACGGAGACCAATTCGAAGGAAAACGTATATGCACACCCCGACTAGTTGTGTTGTACAGAGGAGGACGTATGGTTCGTCTGTTTCAGCATTCTGATTAAATAAAGCTTGCATTGTTGTGCCCCAGTATGTCTGGCTTTCAGAACTCTGCTTACCAGCCACAACATTGCCAGCATTCAGGTCAATAATTTCCTCAAATCCAATGGCAAATATGTCCGTTGGACGAGAGAATGCTTCTGGATCTGCATGAGGATTAACGTAGCCTGTGTATCTCTTCTCTTTTTCCAACAACCAATCGGCAATATTGTCATCCTGATGAGCCAGAGAACGCACAGATCGTCCTCCATTCACATTCCATGTGCCCACAAACACCTTCAATCTTTCCCGGCGAGTAAACTCCGCATTACGATCAAGAATACTCTGTAGAACAGATTGAGGAAGGAAATGTAGTTGCCGAGGTAGGAATTGGCCTATAAAGCAGAAAATGCGGTTTGAATAAAGAGCTCGATAATAATTAGTACCTCATTAGTAATTATTAGAAAGTTACCGGCAACAAGACGCTGCCAACCAGAGAGACTGGAACTATTGAGGAGGGCGACCATGGCTTCCTGTTTAGCTGTGTCAAAGAAATTGTTTTTGATGGTTCTAGTGGCACTGCGTTGAACGATCTTGAACTTTGATCTGTCCCCGCACAGAGCACCTGTCCCTGTGTAGATTCGACTCACATTGTCCCCATTTTCTGCCCATAACTAGCATATGAGGTAGACAAAATAATAAATAAGGGGTTCTTTAAATAACCATTTCTCATAATTATTGATAGCTTATCAAATACCTAGAGTAGCTAATATCAATTGGAATGCCAATAAATTTACTACAAGAATCCCTCATATTCACTGAAGAATCGGTGGAGATTTGGCTGAATACATAGACATCTCGAGATAATGTTGTTATACATACTTGCATACCACCGTATACAGTACGCATCCTTCCGATACAGGACAGTGAGATGGAGAGAGAGTGCTGTAGATTGAAAATTAAACTAGAATTTGAGATAAAGTCAGAAGGAGACATTGAAAGAGTTCAAGTAAAGAATCACAAATCTACAGATAACATGATATTAATTTGCTGTCCTCAAATTTATACCTCCCCCAACCTCTCGTAGTGAACATTACGGCAATTTTATGGGAGAGAGAGAAAATGATACAAGAATGAGTTGTATTTGAATAATCGACCTCATAAACGCTTGAATAGGGTGGAAAAATAATGAATATAATGCTCGACTTTACGACTGCGCCATTAAGAATGACAGAAAGGACAGAAGTAATTGATGAGAAATTATGACCCATAAGCTCCAACCAAACGCATGCATCACAAACTATTACCATTTTAAACGTGAGAAAAACCATTTGGTTGAGTAGCTTCCTTTGTGCCGGGTGCAATCTCTTTTTTAATGAGTTGAGAATGTCGGACAAAAAGATTGAATAACCCTAAACGGTGGAAATTTTTCAATAAAACAACCGTGGTAGATCTCTCAGAGTGGAATAAAGATATTTTAATTAAATAAGCGAAAGGTGTTTTATCATCCAAGTTAACGCCAATATGAGGACTCGAAAAATCATAACAAGTCTGACTGGTATTTCATTTTGAAAAAAATAAAGTGTTAAACCTATGATCAACAAATAAGAAAAAAACAACGAGAGATAAGTGAACTCACATTTTGAAAGATTTCTTGAGCTCGTCTCTCCGCGTTGGAATTTCCGTTTGAGAGAAAACTCAGAGCTTTGAAAAATTGTGATCTAAGTACTATCACGGAGATCATTGCCTGCACTACATTTGTCCTGTCCAAACAGTCCACGCAGTTCGTTCGCACCTTCAGTGCAGACATAGAAATTACGAAATTCATGTAAATGCTTGTCATTGCTTCCTACACGTAAACTTGAGCACGTATTCAAGGACAAAAAGTGAGTTTCCTATTTGGCTGATTATTTTTTAGACATCAGTGATATGCGAATCGATGAGCACGCTTTTCAAGGCAGAGATCACAAATACAAGTCTTGACAAGTCTTGTGGCGTATATCGAATGAAGAGCATGGCCGTTCGAACTAAATACTACTTGTTAGCCAATACAAATGCCTTCGATAGAAACGTTCAACGGTGTTACTCTACTGTCTAACGTAGTCGTTGAAGAGGCCTCCTACTATCCTGTTTAAATAATACGGGCTAAGTCGGCCTAGTTTCTAAAAATTAAGTAAACGTATTTATTTATTTATATCAAATGGCAGGCGTTTTAATACTTATCATCAGCCTTTTAGCTGACTTCGGGATTCACAGAGAGGAGGAACATAAAAAAGAGAAAATTCCGAAAGGGGGGAGAGGAGAGTAATTCACAGATGTAAAAGGGACAGACACAAAAGCAGAGAAAAGGTGAGGTGAGTACTGTGGAAGTGGTCGAATATGACATGTAGTGGAGTCATGGTAGTTTGAAGTGAAAAGTCAACTGCCGGTTTATAGACTTTTTCGCCATTTGAGTATACGTTGCCTAGGATGCACCACGTGGAGATAGAGGCCAAGATATATGGCTTTTACACACTCCTCCCCCTGAATACAATATTCTTGTCAATTGTCTATTCATACCATAAATTACTTTACTTTGATATAAACTAGATTGAAAAATTGATTATCCAAGGTAACCAACAGGTAAGAGATGCAGAGGTAGTAATAACTAACGCTCGAATAAAGATGTGGGTTTACAAAAATTTATTTCCCAGACTTACGGCGAATGTTAAAGTCAGCTCTGTTTAATATCACTTGATATGAATATCACAACTTACTCTTTACTTAATGCAGACGCGAATGTCCTGCTCTCAAGGCCTCAAATCCTCTTTCTACCCGTCTCACTCTTCCAGTTGGTTTGCAAATATACTAGTGGTCCACATCAAAAACATTGTAACAATCAAAAAAGTCCATTTTACTTGTTTTGCTTACCATTGATTTTACATAATATTTATACTTGAATAGTAATATGATGATGCTACGCCTAACATGTAGCCAAAAGAACAGGTACGCATTGTCTCATCCGTGTCAAGCAAAAAAATCGGTAAAATACCATTTCCACTTAAGCACACATTTATCTTAAACGATCGACTCAACAATTTCATGCAATTAAACGTTTTGTTGTGTGCCAATTCCTTATTACGATAACGCATTGACAAGCATTATAATAAATATTGAAGCTTACGATTGCTAGGAAAGACAATAGTCTAATTAGGAATAGGTAAAGCAATTTTATCGGCAAATAATTCCTCTTCCAATGATTTCACCCTAACTAACTTCTAAAATTTTAATCTAACCGTTCTCACTTTATTAACGCGCTTTCTTGATCTTTAGAAAAAAATAGCAAAATCGACCATTCTAATTAATCATTCAGTCCCCATTGGCAGAAATTTGCTCGGTAAAACAAAGGATGAATAATGGGGTGGCAATTTTTGAATGGGAAGTAGTCACTGAACAAACACTTTAACTCGAACTCTCGAATCAAAATGAACCTAATCTTGAATCATATTGAACATCTTTTCGTGATACCATCCCATTTATCTCGTATTAAAATTTACCAAATTTTCCAAAAAATGGAAAAGTATTTGGAGGGGGGAGAGAGAGGGAGAGAGAGAGAGCAAGACTGCACTAGATCCCATCGCAGCACATAATTTCGCGTGAATTATAAACGATTACGCAGGCAAATTCGGCACATTTGAGTACAATTGGCAGCTCATTGTTGTCAAGTCGACGAACAAATAACATATTACCTATTCAATATTACCTTTCAGATAGGAAAAGCAAACATGAGTAATGAATTAAAGAAGCAAATAATCCGAAGCTAATCAGTCTTAACTGGAATCAGGAGATATATAAACAAATGCTCAGGAGAGATATCAATTTATTTCTTGGAAGGTCCTTTAGATTTTACTCGGATTGGACTACTTCTTGGAATAAGTGATTTTCAAATTTAAATCGACCAATAGAACAAATAGTTCAGGTTAAATATAGGTTATTAAGAAAGACATCGCGTAGATATATTTATTACTCAAGAGGCTTCCGCGGAGTTAAGACCGAAAAAGTGGAAACAAAAAGAATAGAAGAGAGTATTAAGGTAAATCGGAACTTTCGGGCCAAACATCACTACCATATCATTGAAAAATTCATAAAGTATACCTTGTATGAAATGACTGAGTGAATAATAAACAGAGACGGCCACAAAGTGGAAATAGTACTATCAATGACTTACAACGCCTCTTTGGAGTTGTTTCACTTCACTGCCATCAAAATGAAAGAAACCCCAATTATTCAACCGTTCCTCCAAAGACGCCAGACAGGGCCAAACGCCATCTATGCCTTTTGCATTCACAACCGCATGGTAGTCAACATGAATGTAGGCAATTTTCGACTGAAAACAAAACAAACCTCATAATAGCATTTGTACTAACAAATAATAAGTAATTGTTATTTTATAATGCACCTCGATAATATGAACACGTGATGCACGATCTGATGCAATAAGTAGCAAAATCATTCAACAGTGAAATTAAAAATACCAACCTTATAATCAGAGACATCCAGGCAATTTTCGTAGAAGTTAGAGAGTTTCCCTTCATTGCCCCTCTTACTCATGAGGTTAACGATGATAGTGTCATTGTATCGGGACATAATTTCAGCGAAATGCCGATTGAACGGCCTGAGGGAAGTGTCCACAAAACGAAAAACGATTTTATGTGAGCCCACTTGAAGACCCGGTTGCTCCCAAAACAACGGCACAGTTCCACGGATTTGCACATGGCTTAAAACCTGCTTGTTCACGTTGATGAACTGAAATGCAAATGTAAATGCATCGCATTAAAGAGGAAAAAAGAGCATTGGTTAAAAAAGGTTTAACTCGAGTCACACACACACACACATATATATATTAATTGGCCTGGAAATATGCGTAACCCTCTAAACTTGGGAATTTGGCATTGGCTTCCTAACAACTGATGAGGTGGAACTTGAAAACATTTAGCGGCAGCAATGAGGCATGATAAATGGGTGTTTAACATATGAGTTTTATGGCAGTTCTATTGTACAAAGTCAAAAAGACCCAAGTCAGATGGAGTAGAGTAAATTTGAGCCTACAAGAGATGAGTCATGCGACACTGAACCCTCGTGGAGAGAGTTAATGTCCCGCAGCAACATTTTGAAAAGCATGCAAACTTAATGATTGATAAGGGCATTTCAAAGGGGTAGTATTGTTTGAAAAGAAAATTGTGTACTTCAACCGTGGGCTAAGTGCCTGATAAGTGAGAGTCGCATTCACTGAAAAACATAATAAATCGAGTTCATCATCACATAGATTCTATGATACTAAAAAATTACATCTAGAAGGTGTTTAAATATTTTTCCCTATATCAGAGGACATAAATTTACTCGCTAATTTATACCCAGAAATGACTCCACGACAATTGATCTCTCAGCAAATCATGCAATAATAATCCTTTTGTCAATGCACTCGAGATGTTTACCTTGCTACAAAAGGTCCGAGCAATGTCATATTTTATTTTTATCCACGTTAAGATGCGTACTGAAGAACATAAACTGATTTGAACTTGAAAATTGTTACTACCAACCTATCACTATTATTTCACTAACACAAAGATCGTAGTACAATTGTTGATCTACAAAGTTTCGAATATTATCCACCCAGGGCTAATTAGGCCTCACTTAATAACTTTATCATCCGAAAGGCTGAGAAAATATCATTTCCCAATGGGAGATGCATTCTTCCCTCTACTATAATTTGAAACGAAGTTTAGACATTAAGAAAAAAAAAGTTTAATTAAAAGAACACCACAACATCATCACGTGAAAATCTGAAACACAAGATTAACATGCGCCTCTCTTTGATGACTTGGATAGGTGTGATGGTCACATTGTTTGTAGAAATGGCATTTTCGGTTTAGCCAATGTGTAAAATCGAAATTGATAATTGTCAAATAAACTCAAATTAACCATTCATTTGCATTTGACGACAATAATTTATTTATATCAAATGGCAGGCTTCCTGATGGCTATCATTAGCCATTTAGTTGACTTCGGGCTCCACAGAGGGGAAGAAACATCAAAGTGAAAAAAGTCGAGAGGGGGAGGAACAGAAGAGTGATTCATAGATGTAAAAGTGCCAGACACAATGGTAAAGAAAAAGGTAAGGCTGGCACTGTGGAAGTGGGCGAATATGACATACAATGGCGTCATGGTAATTTGAAGTCAGAAGTCAACTGGGGGTTTATGGACATTTGTCGAATGAGTACGCGACGACAATAATTGAATAGAATTATTCCAGCAAGCAAATTTCAAATAGTACAATAATTCCCAAGTCTATTGACGAAAACTACTTTTTAACATGCTTCTTAGATCGAGGCAAGGTAGCTTGCCATTTCTCTTAAAATTGAGGAATTTGCTTTTTATCACTAAATCAATGTCAAGTTTTAAAATGCACTGTTGGAAACTACAGTCACCAGATATGAACTAGAGTGATTCGATCTCGACGGTTCAATCACTTAACAGTCCATAGGAGTCAACTAATTCGCCTTTTTGACAGATAGACTACTTTTTTCATACTCGTACGATTTTTTTGAGTTTTTGCCCTATAAAAAATACGCATAGTTCACCACAAGACACTTGAATGAAAGTTCAGATAGGAAAGGTCAAGTAAGTAATTGGTGGAGATTTCGACTGTGGCCCACCGATTAGCGTGCTCTATTTCGAAATCGGTAAACAGGGGTTCAATTGGGGGGGGGGGGAGTAGGTAACTGTTTTCAAGAAAATGCGAATAGTTCATTTTTTAGATATTTAAATCAGAGGAACTCCGAGATAAACTAATCCTCCCTGCATTGAGCTCTCTCTCTTCCTCCATTTTGAAATTGAACAGTCGTAAAGTTGGTACAAATTAAAAGGGATAACATCGTTGTATCTAAGCGATGGTAAAATTTCGTGCGCGTGATAACTTAATTTCCTAAAAGTAGCATAGTTGCCAATGCCACCACCACCAATGGCACAATCTATTTATACCAAATGGCAGACGTTTTGATAGTTGTCATTAACCCTTTAGTTGACTTTGGGCTTCACAGAGGGGAGGAACATCTAAGTCACGAAATGTCGAGGAGGGGGGGGGG